AATAACCCTTACTTGCACATATAGAATGGAAGACAAGTCAAATATTAGGTGCTGTTATAATAAAACTATGGCACTATCCAAAAACATCTTCAAATAAAATGTATTAAAATATCTAACCAATTATTCAAACTTCGAAATAATAATAGACAAGGTACATATAGCGTACAACTCAAAAATTGACGAAACTAATTATTTTATGTGTGACGAAAACTGTGGCAAATATTTGATGATGCTGTATAAATAATTAATTAGGTCAAATAAATAAGTTAATCATTGTTAATATTAGGTCATGTCAATTTCATTTACCTTAAAATTGTGAAATTTTCACAGTCAATTATTTTGAAACGACGACATAAAAATAGCTAGAAGTATACATAAGTATTTATATTTTTCACTTTGTTTTTAAACAATATCATATGGTGTTTTGTTATTGAATACATTGGCATTTAGTTTGAATTATAAGTATATAATATGCATAATATATTTTTTAAGTTTTCTCAATAAGTTTTGTCTTTTAGATTCTGAGAGTATAGCGAATGGTTGTATTGACTTTACAATAATATGTTTCTTTTCATCTGTCATCGACATTTGGGCGAGTAAAACTTTCTGATTCTCGACATCGGCATCTGACAAAAAAATGAATCTAGTTGGTACTTTTGAGAAGTCAAAATGAAAATTCCTAGCGAAATTTAAAGTGTCTCCAAGAAAAAAAATGTGACAAGACAGGGAATTTAACGCAAAACCAATTTTTAACATGTATGATAGAATGACAAAACGTCACCGCTCAAAATCGTTTTCCTTATAACTTCATTATAAAAATAATTTTTTACTGTATACAGCTATTATAATTTGTTGCCATGAAATTCGATCATGTTATGTTTAGCATATTATATGATATGTATATAGATTGTAACGTAGAAAATAAAATCACAAATCGAGGATGGAAAATCTGCATTTATCCTGTATTCATCCTGTGTTATTAATCGAGGTAGTTACCCTGACGTGTTATAAATATTTACAAGATATGTTATCTATTTTCTATTAAGTGCATAATAATTTATTTCCATGTATATTGTTAATAAAATGAAAATGGTATTTGTTTGTAAATCACTTGTTAGTTCAATTGACTTTATTATTTCTAAAAAATTATAAAAGTTTGGAACTCACAGCTTTTAAACATAATATTTTGTACTTTGAAAAAAGTGGCTCATTCCAAATAACTCAATATTCACGTCCATCTACCTAAGTGCATACGTGAAAGTTTATTTTCCACAATGAATTATTTCAAATCCAGAGTATAATACAATTTGTTAGTATTTGTTAATATATTTATGGTTGAAACAAAATACCACAACTGATATAAAAATTATAGTAATTTTTTTTTAAAACTCTCATTAACCTGAGAAAAATGGTATCAATATACCTAGGTATTTATGAACATATTACTGGAATACGTGCATTTTTTTAAAATCTTAAAAAATGTTTGCCAACCCCGGAACCTAACTAGTAAATATATATATATATATATATTTACAATAATATAACCTCCTGTTTTTTGTTAACAAAATGAGAGACACAAAAGAACATTTTAGAGCTCGAAAAACAAGTAGCAGAGGCAGTTGGCTGCGTCAATCGATGCTGAGTTTTCAAATACGTACCCATAGTACTTAATTAATTCGTTAGTAACCAGAGCCTTCCCAATGATAGTATTGAAATCGTTCTGAAAATCGTTTCAATATCCATTTTATTTTCAAATTGGCTACTGCCAAGCACCGCGGGAGTGGTATATTTTCGTACAATGTAAGGTTCGCCAAGAACTATGATGTTCGTCGAATGTAAACACCTACTCACGCACTCCGTGAAGTGTTTTTCTAAGTATAAACTCTCAAACTCGTATTCGTTCTTGTAAAATCTTATTTTCATCATTAACAGGACTGTCAAGATTACTAAAAAGTAGTTCAAATAGCTTGTGGATATTCGCTATTTATTTATTGTATACAGACTTGAGAATCATTGTGTGTATAGCAATAAATTATAATCATATGACCGAAGTCGTAGTAGACACACTGAATGGATTGGGTAGGTAAAGAAGAAGAGCGTTGTACGGTTAACGACGACTTTTGGCATCTCAAGAAAATCAAAAAAACAGTTGGCGTCATCAAATAATAACTCGGTGCAAATATTTGTTATTACTTATTAATCTTTGTGTCATGATCTCCTAAATTAACTGGTATGATTAAATAAACAAATTCTGTCCTGAAGGGTTCTATCAAAGGTAAATATTGGTGAAATGGTAAATGGCTTGGACACCATATATACGCATACCTATATGTTTATTTTTATTCTATATGTTATTTATTATTATCATTTTTTATATACGATATAAACCTTTCAAAACATATTTTAGACTAAGTTTAAACCATTTATAGACATTTTTAGATTCAGCCAAAATGCTTGAAAACTTAAAACAAAATCCCACATAACTTGTTCTTATTGCTATAAGATTTACAATAGTATACCTTAGTCATGGTTGAATGGAATTTTATACAAGCGTTTGGAGTTTAAATTTTGATCAAATCCTTTAAAATTACGAACATTCGCAAATTATTTTAAAGCTAAAAAAAGTAAAAAATTTTAATTTTTTATAACTGAACCTTGGATATGTTATAAGTACAAAGTTTTAGTAATTTTGCTACTAGAACTTATTACTCAACTTTTACGTATTTTACAATAGGTGCATTATGACATTTTCAATACATTGGTTCAAAAATTAATAACAGTTATGTATGATATAAATATCATGCATTTAATAATTAATGATTAATATTTTAATAATAATATAATAAATCCAATGTCCTGGGCAAAAATGAATTCAACCCACGAGGCAAAATACAATATCTATATTGTATAGGCATAAAAAATTAACGTTTCACTCTTTCTTTGTCCTCTATAGTCTATACGCTCAAAAACAACCGAACCATTTTCAATAAAAGTTATATCAATAGATATTATACAGGCTAACAAACCGTTTTTCGTATACAATTATGATTCAAAACCTCGGCACTAGGATACTATACAACAGCGAATTCCCATTTTTTTTTTTCGATTTTGTTGTGATTTTTTTACATCTTTTATACTAACATAAATACATTTATTTATTTCTATAGTTAGAATGATATTAAATAACATTGACAATATAAGTACATCGATGAATATTGAGTTATTGTTAAGTCTTATCTTTTTAATTGTTTATTGTTTACTGTGTAGGTAACAATGATATTAAAATGTCAAAGTTCAAAGATTTAAAAATGATAAATATCTATAGTAAAATAGGTAAATGATAATCATATTTGTTCATAAGCCGAAAGTTATTTAAAAACAAAATTAGAATATTATATTTACCTACGTAGAGCATTAGAAAATAAATAAATCCATTATTTTCATGTTATGTTAATGTAAACACAATGTACATAGATATAACATATTAATATATTGTAATAATATGTTGAGCAACTTTATCTAGTTATCATACACAGTCTCATAATATAGGTAGGTAGATCAGTAAAAAAATATGCATTCAGTAATGTGTTTTTGATTAATACTTGACCGATGACCTGTTGTAGAGTATTTGTTTTTATTGACAACTGTATTAGGTATGTCCAATTCAATTTAAATAGATGTAAATCATTGCATGTTTGTTCATCGAAAGTAAAATTTCAAAAAATTCTGTCGAGTATAGACTCAGCTGTACATTAGTTGGTGTTGAGATTCCTCGTCATTGAGTACTGTAATGAATTTATGGTTGAATTAAATTTGAATTCAATGATATATCATTGTAAAGTAAATACGATGAAAAACGCTTTTGATCGAAGACTGCCTAACTTTTTGTGAACCACGGTTAATAAATAATCATCTTCAATTTGACCTTCTAAAAATAACAACGAGATCTAATTTGCAACCAGAAACCTCCGCCAAAGTACAGATGATCAGGGCATATTTTTCTATACAAGAAAAAGTGTGTCTACAGACACAAAAATTAAAAAAAAAACACACCGTCATATGACAAAAGATGGGATACTCGCTATCGATTGATTTCCTATGGCGATTTTCACTCTAATCAATAATCCCCCTAGCGAGTAGCATATAACAAATAGTAATAATGATAATAATATGTAGCATGAATATACATCGTCATTTGTCGGTAGATTTTGAAAACCGTACGCAAATACGACAACCCCGTTGCGGTACTATGTAGTTGGCTAAGCTCGACTACTACGATAGTCAGACGCGGGCCGAACACACCCTCGTCGCAAAAACCGATCGTGTGGGCGGGGTAGGGGGGCGGTCGGAGATTTCCGGCCTCGTAGGGGAATCCGGTCGGTTGGGGCGCGCGGCATAGGCAACCCAACCGGCGGCCGACCGGAGAAATCGACCGGGCCGATAACGATCGGGGATACCGGCGCGAGCGCTCGTCGTCCTCGTCGGATATGAGAGGACAAAAATAATAGAAACCTCCGCTCGATACCTCAGCGACCCCGTGAGCGGCGCGCACGTTTCTCGGGCGTCGGAAACTGGGGAAACCCACGGCACGCGTGCACGTCGTGTCGTATGTTTCATACGCAGTCTCCTCCCCAACCGGACGTCATGTTTTTTGTTTTCATCGATACCACATAATATTATATTGATACGACAAAATAAACGGAAAGGTAAATGACATCACTATATATGTGATTGTCGAGTGTCATATGCGGTCTACCGCACACTTGTCGTTTACCGCGCATAGTGTCATTCCCATCAAGTCGACGCGGCAACGATTAAAATTAATCTTAATCAAAGTATATAATATGTAATGTTATGCATACAAATAACATTAGATAATGATCGAAATAATACTCAAATAATAGCAATAAAACGATATTTGCAGAGATCTACGAGAACACCGAATAAGGTCCGAGTAGGCATGTTAACTGGGTAGGTATAGTTAGGTAGGAGGTACTCACTGGTGGCGAAAGACGACTCCACCACGGCCGCAGCAGCCGCAGCTGCTGTCTCCTCCCTGTGCAGCATCGTGGCCGCCCTGGACAGCACTTCCAAAGGCGATTCGCTTTCCATACCGCACGTCGTAGTCGTAGTCGTTCGCTGCAAAGAGACGACCGAGATGGATGTGTTCACCGCGACGACGTATATCAGATGTGATTAATGTTATTACGTCGATCGTAAGGGTAGTATTATTGAATCGTACGACAGTACAGAATGACTACGGTGATACGATTATCGCGCGACACTGGCGGAAAAGAAACGGCTGGCGAGACAAAATACGACAGCAGTTATAATAATAATATTATTATTATTATTATTATTATTATGAAAACAATATTATTATCATGTATCGAACGACAGTGCAGTTGTAGTTGTGATGAATAGGTTTTACGTACGGTACGTGTCGGACGGCCGCGGCGAGCATACGAGATCCCGACCAGAGGACTTACCTGTTCTCAAACGGATTCGGTTGTGGTGTCCCGCGGGGCCGGGGAACGTCACTGCGGCATATACGTGCGCGCGCGCGCGCGCTCGCGCTCTACGCTGCGTGTATAATATCCGCTCATGTCAATGTGTGTGTGCGTGTGTGAGCGAGAGAGTGTGTGACTGTGAGAGTGTGTGCGTGCTGCGGTTTCGACAGCGCGGATCGGAATGTCAGGAATGATCGGAATTGAGTTTTTTAAAAACGCGTTTTCGCCCGGCACGGAGCGACGGCGGTGTCGTCGGGCCGGGGACCCGCGACCGGCGCGCCACCTGGTGGCAAACACGCGCGACATCACCGCCGCCGACCGCGGCGAGGTCACAGCCGTTCTCCCGCCCGCCGCGCCGCCTGCAGATTATCCGTCCGCCGCTCGAGCGTACAATTATATTATTATGGTCGTCGGTCATCGTCGTCGTCAACGCGAAAAACAAAAACAAAAACCCCGAGCCACACAATAATAAATAATAATAATAATACTAATGGGTCCCTCGAATCGATAACAGACGCCGTGGACTCGACACTGGATTTTTCAAATAGTTACTCCGCGAAAATCGCATCGAGAAAAACCGTAAACATCGACGAAGTCTTCGCAAACGGGAGCGAGCATCGTCTCGCCAGAGAATAGTAATAATACTATATTATGAATCTAACCCTCGATCAAAATATCAGCCCGCTCGCCGCTCGGTCAGCTTTCAGTCGAAAGATTTGTTTTCGGTCAAGTACCCATATCACTCGTCCGACGTGCACGGCGGTACATTTCCAGTTCCAGAGCTGCTATAGCCGAGTACAATAATATATATACGATAAGTCCCCGCGAGCTGTCACGACGTTAACAAACTATAAAACCATTCAAAAAGTCAAATTCCAAGACAAGTGTATAATATAGTGCCTCAAGGCGGGCATGCCGTTATTATAAATTTATAATTACCTATATAATATGTGCACGGCGTCGAGTGTCGATTTTGACACTCCAGTGCGGTGTATTATAAATTACAATACGATACATTATCATATTGTAGTAATCTATGTGATCGCTGAGATCTAAGAAATGTCTGTACAAAATAGTTTCCAAGCTTAAAATGCGAGTATACAGTGTAATATACTAACAGAGGCATAGCCAAGGAGGAGGGGACTAAAAGGACAATACCCCTCAAATACAAAATTCCTGGCTACGCCATTATACATATACTAGTTTAATATCACAGACAGTATGGTAATATATTCGTATTGACGCGCTTTTGGAAACGTATACGACGAAATGAATAATCTAGTCAAGGGCGGCGGATCCAGAATCGCCGTATACGGAATGGGGCACTTAAATTAAAAACATTTTTACGACGCGGATTTTTAACAATTAATGAAAAATTATATTGTGTTTCTCATGTGAACGGAAGGGGCACTTGACCCCCCAGTGCCCCCCTCCCCTAGATCCGCCCTTGAGTATAGTTCTGATGGCACTGATCATTTACGGAGGCTCGATAGTATTTTTTAATTTGATTTCGTCATTAATAATATAATATCATCATAGAATACTGAATAATAATATAGATCATAATATAATAATATCTACTGATGCACGTATATTATATTATAGACCGAGTGACCTGCTGATCACTGTATGTATATAAGAACGTTGTAATATATATTAAACGGAATGGGTCAATGAAATTTGCGCAAAGACGATGACGACGATGACAACGGCGTCGGGTCGCGCGTTCTAGAAATTCTTCGCAAACCCATGCGTACGTATAGTGTATACATATATACATATAAATTATATTATGTAGGTATGCAATGTGTACGCCACCCGGATTTTAGAGAGAACGCCGCCAGTACGCACGACGATTTGTTGGCGCGCTCGCTTATATTTGCGGGCGGGAAATTAACATTTCACAATGATGGATTTTTACGAGTCCGGCCGTCACAATGATAAATAAATAATATGCAACTATAATAATACCGCCGCGCCAGTAACAGTGCTGCTGCAATGATATGCGGACGACAATGCTAGCGAAGAATTCGTTTCGAAATAATATGTCGATAATTACATTATGATCGTTGAAGACTCGAAAACGAAAAGCCACGATATAATACGGAGTACGGACGATAAAAATATCACATAAACACTGCTATGTTAGGGTGGACCCCGACCGAAAAATAATTGTTCGTCTTCCACGTGTGTTGTGATGTTCAACAACTTTTGCCGCGTGCTGGCGATGTGCGATTTCAGAAGAAACGATAATATGCGCCATAGATTATGCGCGTTGTTATTCGTATCGCGATCATACGCATACTTCGAGAAACAACAAGGCAATTTAAAAGTGGCCAACCGAATTAAACTCTTTGCGCACAAATACAGCGTACAAATAATATTGCATTATATATTTAATAGGTATTTATATTATGTACTATTATATTAGGTACATCCGTGAAACGTCCCGACAAAAAAATAACAAAAATAAAACCAACTTATAGTTTTTTAAATGTATGTATATATTAACCTTAGCCTGATAAATAATATAATTAATAATACTAAAGTCTAAAAGTAATAATAGTAATTTATATTTATTAAGCTACATTTTTAATGTAGGTACTCATGTATAGGATGTTTCAGTCATATAAATTACCATACAAAAACTAAATCAACTAATATCATAGCATATTGCTATAATGCTATTATAAATGATAACAAAATATATCTATCGAATTTGTGACCAATTGGCAAAAAAATATAAATACCTATAGGTACCTACTGCTAGTTGTAATAGAATTGTATTACGAATTAACGAATTAACGAATTCCATTGTATGTGAATTATAATCAATAATCAATAATGTTTGCTCCTTAAAGTAGATATAATTAATAATTACTAATAATGGAATCATAAATAGATTAATTTTTAGTTTATATAGCATACGAGATTTTAGAATAAAACCCTAGACGAATATTTTAAATTTTCATCATAATTCCACATAAAAATATTATTATATTATTAGTTATGAAAAATTTTCAAAAATGTTAATTGTACAATATGTCGCAATCAATCATGTACGTTTATAATTTTTTTTAAATCACAGATTACTACGTTGTATTTGTTGTATAAATAATGTTATGTTAAAATATTAATATTAAATTAATATACCATATAGACGCTATGTGACCTTTATAAAAAATAATAATTAGCACCAATACTCAGCAATAGTATACCATATAAATATATATAGTATATTTATACAGTAATAGTGTGTTACTGTGTTATACACACAAATCATCACAATCAATGTAGTCTGGACAATTCGAAATAGCTTAGACCAAGAAAACCAATGTTATAGACTTTTTCGGAGAAGTTGTATAATAAAATATGTATAATTATGTGTATATTACGCATATATTATTATGTTTTGTGCTATTCTACTTTATAGTTTATACTGTGTGTACCGTATGTATCAATAGCTATTGCTAGGCAATATACCTCATTATAATAAATATTTAGGAATTTGACCTTGAGAGGTGAAAGATGAAAAAAAAATTTTCCATTTCATACAACAACTATGGGTGTACCTACCGTATACAATATTTTTTTTCTTGGTATTCAATTATAGTTCTTACGAAAAATTTTCAAACACAACTGTATGTGTTATAATGAGTATGAAAATGCATTTTTTAAATTAGTTTTTTTTTTAATTAAGCCAATTAGATTTTTTTTAATAAATACCTAAGCGCAGAACGCTAACGCAGATCGTTATCTTTTATAGTTTTGTGTGTACTATATAATATACTATTATTTTAAAATGAAACTTCCTTTTTTCATGTATCCGGTTGTGTTAATTATTTCTAGTTGCCTATATATAATATAGTATGGAACCACAAATATGTTTGTACTCATTGTTATTATTATTATTATCAAATATAACTAGGTCAAAGCTCGAGGCTCGCTTGTTGCCAGCAACAAATATAATAGTAACGAATTATGTATTAAACTATTGCAGTGTGTATGTAGGTACACACTGAACCCATATAGATTTATGTATATATATATGCTTGATTTAACATAAGTACAATGGATAATTCAAACATATTTTTATTAAAATGTACATAATTAATAAAACAGTATTCATTGTAATTTTTCAGACGGTTAATTTATTTGAATTTGCTAAATGTTGGGATATCTAAGAGTTAATATTTTAAATTTTAAATTTATACTTTTGATTCCCTCTGCCTCACTCGGTATCAACTAATTTCGATTTTCTCATCCAAAACTAGTTGAAAATTGAAGCACTTTTATATCTTTTTAAGCCAGTTTAAGAAGAAGTTAGGAACGAAAAAAAAACACGCTCCATAGCGTAATAATACCAATATGAATTACATATATATATAATATACAGAAACATAACACTTAATTTTTAAAAATCAGAGGTTTTCAGAAGAAGGCCTGGAGTCCTCTTAGTCATCCATAAACTCATGAATACGCTCCTGTTGGCTATCATATTTTTGGGCAGCGGCGTTCGCCTCCGCAAAATGTATACCACCTTCCTGCACCGTTTTACCGTCACTGACGAATACGACGCACCACAACAGTATAGAACCTTACAGTCAATACCTGACGTCCTGACTTCTGAGTTCTGACTACCTGTAACCACGCTGAAGCACAATTTATGATGTTTAAGCGTCACAAGTTAATCTCCGTAAAAGTATTCCACATAAACAGCATATTTTGCAATTTCAGTTAAGAGGACACCACCCATGTGGCCCGTGTTGTCTCCAAAATTTGCTTGTTATTTTGTAGTGAAAAATTCATACACATTTTAAATGCTTATATCTTTAAGGTTTGAGGATTTAATACAAGATTCCTTATAAGTTGCTCTTATAACAATTTTCAAATATTAAAAACACAAAAGCACTGTTTTTTTAAATTTTTTTTGTGACAGAACTATACAATGTGGCAAGAAGTTAAAATTTTTTTGATGACTTATCCTCAAAGCATTTTTGTTTTTGGTTATTATCTAAAAATATTATTCTTTTACGCTTGAAACATTTAACTATTACTTAAATTATTATTTTCAAACACTACTAAAAAAAATTTATGTATTATTATCAGATAAGTTATTTATACCAGTAAAAACCAAGACCACCGTTCTACGGTATCAACATACTCGGTATTGACGTAGGTAC